GGAGTGATCTCAGGTAGTCAGAGTAGGACTACAAGTCTAGTCATAGACAAGTCTATCTCTGACTATATAAAGAGAGACCACTGAGAAAATAATAATATAAATATTCTGCGTTTCTTCACTAAATTCTACATTCTTTATACAGTCTCAGTTTAGCAAAATAAAACGGTGAATGAATATTTCCTGGGTGCTCACATGAGTAACTGAGTACTCACTGAGTAACAATACTCAGAAAATGTTAGTAGTACCAATATGAGTACTCATGGACGAATTATGAGTAAAGTCGTACTCATCGTATGAGTACTTTCACTAGGGTAGGCATTGCACAAAAGCCTCAAACGGTTGGTTTACAAGCTACTCAATCGCTATCCGAGATTTTCACTGAAATTTTCGGTGGAAGCAGCGGCAACAGACTCTAGAAGAAGCTCCCAGAAATTTTGATCGTGTGAATATTCACTTGAATTTAAATAATTTAAGTGTTGTTATAAGTTTAGTTTTGGTTGTTTTCACCGCGAGACGGTGTGGAAAATCTGAATCGACAGTTCGATTCAGAATATTTTTCTCTTACTATACGAAACGAATAAANGCTCCGATCCTTTTAATTTATTTATAGAGCGCTCGTGTCTACGTACATTTATTTTATTCGTTTCGTACGCTAACCAATAGAAATCCAAGATGGCTGCCATGCCTAAAATTCTACGTAGAGCGCTTGCATTACTCAAAAATAATGCAAAAAAGCAGAATTTCTTGCATAATTATTGAAAAGAAGCCCTAGTTATAATTCTCCCGCCACATGCGACAGAAATAGACTTGAGCGCGAATTACAAACGTGAGTTTGGCGCCAAATGGCTCTAATGAACTTCTCAATTAGTTGTTCTGATGCATTCTTTTATTCTCGGTACGTCCCAGGTGAACGACGTCTTACAAGATCTTATAAGATCTGATGATTTCTTATGCAATCTTGTTACAAGATCTTTCGGTAAGACCTTGTAAGATCTTATCCCAAGATCATGTATGATCTTGCGGAATCTTATAGCTTCTTGTCGTAAGATCTTGCAAGATCAGTTTATAAGAAATGTTAAGATCTTGTAACAAGAAGTTATATGATTTTGCAAGATCTTGTCAGTTCTTATCACAAGATCATACGATTTCTTGTTACAAGATCTTACAAGAAGTGATGATTCATTCTTACGATAGAGTAACTCTCGAGCTTTCTTGTGATATATTTGGAAGTACAAAAATCTTTTAAATGACTGAGCTAAAGTAAAAAAACTGGTCGTACGAATACTTTCTGGCACAACTGTATATAACATAGTTCTTATGAGAAAACTTAGAATTTTTGTTCTTCCTTCAACTTCAGACATCAGCTGCGCACAAATAAAGTGCATGGCTATAAGAAACGTGGTTAGACACGTTCCTAAGGACGTCAGAGTCCTTCCTATGCTCGAAAATATTATAAAAATTAAAAGATTTTTTTAAATCGTTTTAGCATTATGAGTAACTACCAAAATTTCAAGGAATGAGACACATACTTTAAATACACACAAGGAAATTGTTTCATATTTTATATTGTAAGAATATACCTGTATACATAACATCGAATAAATTATATGATTAATATTCAAGAAATAACACAGTTCTTTAAGAAATAATTACTGACTGCGCTTTATTATTACTTGAAGTGCAAGATTCTGTTCGAGTTGGTTGACATTCATATCTCTGATACGCGACAATAAATAACCATTTTTAAAAATATTCCTGGACAGCGAAGTGTTTAGATAGTGAAGTAATGTACAAAATACTTGTTAATGCACTACCATGGAGTGAAAAATGTAGAAATTCTCTATCGAATGATATATAAAGTAGAGTGGTCGACAGAACAAATTAAATGGATGGTACAAACATGGATGGGGGTGACCTAGCGGTTTGCTGACATAGTGCCGAGTATTACGGATCGCAGACCCCACCCATCCCCCAGTCACATTTGCGTATTACGATCTGTTATAGGATTTTGTAGTCCATAAAATTCTCTATCGAACGGTATATAATAGTTGATATTTCCTCTATGTGAAAGAGGTGGAATGATGAAAATACTTTGTACTTTTACTTGAAATATGAAACAATTTCCTTTTGTGTATTTAAAGTATGTGTCTGATTCCTTGAAATTTTGGTAGTTACTCATAATGCTAAAACGATTATCATAAGTTTCAATTTCTCATATTCCTTTTTCATTCACTACATGGCATTATGTACCCATCCAGGCAATGTAACTAGAGATTTTATGCACCTACGATGATTTTTCTTTATTGTTTCAGTCCACAAGTACATTTAATATCGCTTTTAGTATACTGGGACGCATTATGTCTATCATCAGATGATGTCTCGCTTTCTTTCGCCTTTTCATTAGGCCTGTGGCAACAAATGTAAATCTTAAAACTTTTCTCAAAAAAATTACATTTTACATTTACAATCTTTCTTTTATCAGCTGCGCCAGAACAGAAGAAAAGGACGCATGCCGTCTTTTTTCTTTGTTTTCTTTAGCTTTTCTTTGTTTTCTTTAGCTTCTTTTCTTTGTTTTCTTTAGCTTCTTTTCTTTGTTTTCTTTAGCTTCTATGAAGGCAAAGAAACAAAATAGACATAAAGATACAGAGTATGATGAAAGAACTAATATTTTGGGTATAGAGGTGTCACAACATGAGCCTTCTTTTGAGATATTGAAATGGACAATCTATTATTTATCCGGACAACATTGTCGGTGGTTTGGCAGGTCCACTCTTAAAATATTGATTTATAAGCGAGCAAAGAACAAAAATAATGTTAAGGACAAATATTAAGGATGACTTGTTTCGGCGGTTAAAAGGGACATTCTTTTTCTTTTCTTCTGTATTCTTGCCATATTACGTGGTCATGTGTAATAGAGCTGCGACAAAAATCGTTTCTTTTCGTTTTAAAAGAAATTTTATTCTTGTGTACCTGTATTTACGGCCAATTCGAGATTTTTTTATTAGTTTTAAACAAGATTTTATCGCGTAACCAATATAAACAACACAAGAAGGGCAGAAGTCTAGTTTGTCTAACGCGTATGAAGGGAAAAATTTTAAATTAAAAATCTTAATAAAAAAAAATTAAAAAAAAGAGTTAAAAATTTTATTCTTTCTCACGTGTTTTTTTCCGTTATATACACGCTATACGCTTTCTTTCTTTCTTTCGCCTTTTCATTAGGCTTGTGGCAACAAATGTAAATCTTAAAACTTTTCTCAAAAAAATTACATTTTACATTTACAATCTTTCTTTTATCAGCTGCGCCAGAACAGAAAAGGACGCATGCCGACTTTTTTCTTTGTTTTCTTTAGCTTCTATGAAGGCAAAGAAACAAAATAGACATAAAGATACAGAGTATGATGAAAGAACTAATATTTTGGGTATAGAGGTGTCACAACATGAGCCTTCTTTTGAGATATTGAAATGGACAATCTATTATTTATCCGGACAACATTGTCGGTGGTTTGGCAGGTCCACTCTTAAATATTGATTTATAAGCGAGCAAAGAACAAAAATAATGTTAAGGACAAATATTAAGGATGACTTGTTTCGGCGGTTAAAAGGGACATTCTTTTTCTTTTCTTCTGTATTCTTGCCATATTACATGGTCATGTGTAATGAGACACGTCTCGTTTTGTTTTTCGTTTCTTTTTGTCTTTTTTCTGAATTTTTGTGGCATTGCATGACTGTGTATGTGGAGAGACATTTTTGCTTAATGACATTCGCGATAATTTCGTTCCCTTCATACACGTTAGACAGACTAGGCTTCTGCCCTTCTTGTGTTGTTTATATTGGTTACGTGATAAAATCTTGTTTAAAACTAATAAAAAAATCTCGAATTGGCCGTAAATACAGGTACACATAATTACATAATCATATTCACCTTGAGATTCGTTTAAAATCAAGACAGAGAACTATGTCGTCAGTGCAAGTTATACAGCAAGCTAAATAAGAAACGATCCTCACGTTCGGGTTAGATTATTCTACACGAACAGTTTTCCTTATAAAGTTGAGAGTCCGTCACCTAACGAGGGTGAGGTTGAAGGGATATATTACGAGGAAAAATTAGCGAATACGATTAGGACAAGTTAGATCTAAACTTAAAGAATATTTGTATAGAAATCTCATTTTTCTCATTCGAGACTATCATATCCTAGATTACTTGCGGTTGTACTAAAAGTTTTCCATTTCCTTCGAGTATTTGACTCGTTGCAACTTGCAATCCCTCGTACATCATAAACTTCAGACCTTCTTTCTCCGCACGTCTAGATTCACAACAACTAAAGCATGCAACCGGCACCACCGCCTCCAAGTGCTCTGGGAAAATATCGCGTTCTATCGCCAACTGCAGCTGTTCGCGTATCGCCCTTATGTCTGGGAGCGATGTCCATCGGTGATGCATGGGAAATCATGGGCACACAGTCAAAAGAAAACTCGTTCAAAATTCTCGATTTATTTTACGATGCGGGAGGAAACTTCATTGATACTGCCAACAATTATCAAAATGAGCAGAGTGAAACCTGGTTGGGAGAATGGATGGCCAAACGGCAGAATCGCAGTCAAATGGTAATTGCAACCAAGTTCACAACTGGATATAGATCGGACTGGAAGAAAGAACAGATTCACGTGAATTTTGCTGGAAATTCGGCGAAGTCTCTCCATGAAAGTGTAGCTGCTTCTCTGAAGAAGCTTCAAACCGATTATATCGATCTTCTCTACGTGCACTGGTAATAACTCTGTTCCATCTACAGTTTTTTTGAGACTTTCATAGAAACGATAAAAAATACTAAGAAAATTGGATAGAACTGAAAAAACTCGACCTGACTCTGAGTATATATGTGACAATTTTCTTACTTTCCTCTTTCTAGGTGGGATTATACTTGTTCGATTCCTGAGTTAATGCAGTCCCTCGACCATCTGGTCAAAGCAGGCAAAGTACTCTACTTGGGAGCGAGTGACACACCTGCATGGATCGTTGCGAAGGCTAATCAGTATGCAAGAGATCACGGACTTCGTCAGTTTTCAGTCTACCAGGGCCTGTACAACGCTGCCAAGCGGGATGCAGAAAGAGACATTCTTCCAATGCTTCGAGACGAAGGAATGGCCTTCGCGCCTTGGTCGGCACTAGGAGGAGGAAAGTTTAAAACAAAAGAGCAAGTAGAAGCAATGGAGAAGGCAGGCGACAAAGGAAGAACGTTCGGCGGCCCAATAAAAGGTAAGTAATATTTCCTTGTAAAATGTGTCGGAAATCGAAAACCGAAACACTTTGCCTAGGCGAACATGCGCATACCGTGATGAGTACTTTCATAAGGGACCACAGAAAACGACTCTTGTCTTTTCACAGCAGCACAATTGGCAAATATGACCGCTAGAGGCATTGTAGAGCTTGAAATTCTCTATCGAACTATGTATGACAAACGTGTTTAAGTTTTATTGAAATTACAATAAGACGACTGAAAGCCGTTGAAGTGCAGAATAAAGCTATCTGTGTCAGGATAATCAACACCAAATAATCCGACAGGCTTCTTCTTTATAATTCGTTCAATCTCTGTCAAATGGGGAATTCTTTTCTCTATCGATCCATGTATAAAAAGTTTCGTTTCTCTTTTACTTTGTGTTCAAAACCGGTCAAGCACTAGCAAAAAAAAGGGTAAAATGCGTATTTTTTGGAACTTGTGGCCTCCAGAAATCTCCACGCACACGACTTAGAGAGAAACGAAAGTCACTTCTGGGCTCAGTTTTTTATGGGCTACAACATGGTGGGATCGAGATCATGGCGGCTTGAGGTTGTGTTTAAAGCGGACGGAGCTGTGTGGAAGCACCCTATTTAATTCACCTCTGGAAAATATAAGAGCGACTAATATTAGAAGTTGCGATAATTTCTGAGTTAAAATTAACTTTATTAAATCAATATAGGTCCATCTAAAGAAGATCAAGCGGTCACCGCTGTGCTAGAGAAAATTGGGAAAACCAAGAACGTTTCGCTGACTCAGATTGCTCTGGCTTATGTAATGGCAAAGCAACCATACACGTTTCCTATTGTCGGTATTCGGAAAGTAGAACATTTACAGGACAGCATAGATGCTTTGAAAGTGCGCTTGAACAATGAAGAAATTAAAGAAATCGAAGAAGCATACGAATTCAAAGCTGGCTTTCCTCACGATTTCATTGGCCACCATCCGAGTCAAAATTGGCTCTTACAACTGGCAGGTCACTACGACTGGATGGAACCGGAAAAGAGTTTGAACGCTAGTTAGAAAGAGACAATTGTAATATTTTAATCTTATATAACCTCTCTAGATTTCTCATAAATAAAGTAGTGTTGACAGTCTTATATATCCACACTTGAAAGTATACTAATATTGGGCATTTTTGAGCGGCAATGGGTAGAAGAATCTTTGCTGATTTTGTTTCTTTCACTTTGACTCACGAGATATGAAAAATAAGTTACATTGGTGGGATAATCGGACAAAATTGAATAAATTGCAAAACTTCAAGAAAAATTTCGTAGAAAATTGGAAAAAATCGAAAGAATTAGGAAAAGTTGAATAAAACTACGGAATATTAATTTCCAACTAGTTGTTCTGAGCATCCGTTCTAAAAATTACTTTCTGACACTTTTATCTGTCTCGTTCGTCTTTGTGGAGCTCAATCTGCCCGAAGGAAAACAACAGTCGGTCTCTCTCTGCTCGATGTATGACATTACTTCTAAATGTACTCTTGATGACGATTTTTAGATGGTATTTAAAATGCCTTTCAATGAGCCTTCAGGTTTTTGAGTAAACCGAAGCTGTCAGCCGTGCAGCGTATCAAATAATCTATCTATTCACAGATCCTTTCGATCAGCAAAACGTGTAAGATATGGGGAAAAATGCAAAATTTTGGGGGAAAATGATTGCACAACTAGTTGCAATAGCCGTATTCTCTTTCTGTTGCACGCGGTATCATTCAAAAATTATTTTGATATGCTGAACTCATTTCAACCTCCATCCACAAAACCTCCATTTTTCTCTAAAGATTTCTAGAAAACCTGTTTAAAACTCGTATACTTTTCATGGCTCTCCAAACTTCCAATGAATTATAAAATAGCACATATAAAATTAAGTGTAGTTTCATACTTTCAACTAGTTTACACTCAAATTCATTGAGCTATCATTTTTTCAATTTTGAATGAAATTAAAACTGTTTATTTTGAGAAAACGTTTAACTCATAACGCAAAAACCACGTTAGAAGATCCCCTTTTTGTTATCGATTTTTGACCTAAAATATGATAACTTTTGGATCGGCCAACTCGAACAAAATAAATAAAACTAAAGCAAGAATAATAGACGCCAAAAAACATAAAAGTAAAATTCATATTAATTACCTGGACTAATTAATGGACGTTTTCATTCAAAATTGAAAAAATGATAGCTCAATGAATTTGAGTGTAAACTAGCTCAAAGTATAAAATTACACTTAATTTTATATGTGCTATTTTATAATTCATTGGAAGTTTGGGGAGCCATGAAAAATATACGGGTTTTAAACAGGTTTTCTAGAAATCTTTAGAGAAAAATGGAGGTTTTTCATGTTTGCTATAGCTCATTTTTATAGATGTTCTTCTCCTGGATTCGATCTTCCGACCTTTCATACGCTGTACTTCTCCAACTACGCATTTTCCCATTGCACTAAATTTTGCAAAAAGGAAACTACGAGTTATGATGATACATTCGTATGAAGGCCGTACATTTATCTATATATTTAAATAGTCTTTACAAGTGATCACTCACAAGTTACTAGCTATACTATACATAAATGTCGACCTTATTTTTAACGTCGACACGACTGTGTACGACGGAATATCTCTCCTAAAAAACAGTATCCTCAATAGCTCATTTTTGTAGAGAATTAAATTCTGTAGACCATAAGAGACGATTTGTTCGTTTTTATCGAGGGGACGAATTGTCTATGAAACAAATTATCCGAAACGATTTGTCCGGGACGAACTGTCGCAAACGAATTGTCCGAGACAAATTGTCTGAGAGGAAAAGTCCGAAAACGAATTGTCTATGAGACGAAGTGCCCGCGACGAAGCATCCGTGAGACGAAAAGTGCCGAGACGATTTGTCTTGAAACGAAATGACCTAGTACCAACAAAGTTTACTTCAATTTTTACCTCTGATAAAAGAAAAGGCCAAAGAACCAACTTTTTTTAAAAGAGAACACATCATAGTGCTTTTTGAAAGTGTTTTTCATTAAAAAACAATAACAATACATACAATATTTGTTATATTGTACAATAACAATGTTTATTATATTGTACAATAACAATATTTGTATGTCTTTCACAATCGTAGCTTTCAATCAAGAAAAATGTGTGCTTCATTGTCTTTGAAGGCATTACGTACCTATATTCCACTACTAAACAATATACAACAATTCAATGATAATAAAACCATATCCAATGAAGTCAACGTTTCGTTATTATGGTTTGATAAAAACATATGTTTACAGAACGATGAAGATGTACGTAAAACTAAGCAAATGCTTCAGGAAATCAAAGCTAACGTCACTTTTCATTCTAATTTGGACGGTTTAAAAAGCTTTATTGACCCAAATCCACAAGAAAGTTTTTTCCTGTTATTTCTGGTGTGGAAGCAGCAAATACTACTATTTTTCAAAGAATTTATATCGAAGTATTCGATATACTTCTAGCCTCAGTTTTATACCTCTATACCCAAAATATTAGTTCTTTCATCATACCCTGTGTCTTTATGTCTATTTTTTTTCTTCCCCCTTACTGAAAGTGATGAGTCAACATCAAAGTTTTGACCTGTGATACAAAAGTGAGCTGAAGCATAGTCCGTTCGTCAACAAAAGAGCGATGCTGTCACTAAAGGTAGATAAGAAACAGGTAATAAGAAAAGGTTGTAGTTAGAAGTGGTGAGATACAATTAGATTTTCCACACTTGCAATTGTGCAGATGAAAAATATAAGCAGGAGATTATTCGAAGAAAAGATCTTTCTACAATCTATTTCAAAATATAAGGCAGATGGAAGAGAGTAGAATAACTTCGGACGAATCAAAACCTGATTGTAAAGGATATCTAGAGGATCAAACGGTGAGTAAAATGAGTTCAGCATATCAAAATAATTTTTGAATGATACCGCGTGCAACAGAAAGAGAATACGGCTATTTCAACTGAATAGAGAATATGGCTATTTTTGATCAACGAATTTTATTTTATTTGAATCGGCATCATAATTACAGTTTTAATAAATTTGTTTTGCCCCATGCCCTATCTATCTGACTACCCTGAGGTGTCAAGTAGCTAAATTTTCGTTTGTTAGAAGAAATGGAGTTAATGTTTCTGCATTGACAGATAATAAATTATTTGAGCGAAATTCCAACTCTCTTAAACGATTATTTTCTTCGAGTGCTTCGACGATTGATCGTTCGTACTCCATCATCCGTACAGTCGCTCTCTCAAAGCAGCCTATGAATAAATTGGTTTTGATACCAATGTTTTATCCACAAGTGACCACAACATCTCTGTTGGGTTCAGATCTGGACTTTTGGGTGCCAGATTCGCAATATTAAGCTTCATTGTTTTGGTTTGACTAAAGTTAATTTTGACGTGGCCATGCAGAACTCAACGTGAACTAACTGTACCTCATCATATGCACTTTCAGGTCTTCCTTACGGATTAGCAAATTATGAGTAACGCTGCAGCGTGAGACTGAAAAGCGGTTATACTAATTCTACTGAATTTTAGAATTTCTGCAAAATTGTGGAAGTCTTAATTAGGTATGATCCCTGAATAACGGATCATTTTTGTAGCTAATTACTTTCAGTATAATCCATGGTTCTCAAATCCTTTTTCTCATACTTAGTTTCTGGCCTAAAAGTTCTGTATGTTATATATTCATTCATATCGGATATATTGCATAGTTTTTCCGAATCAATTCCATTTACAGCACCAGAGAAGAAGAAAGTATTTTGCGATCAAGGACGTAAAGCACTGTGTCATTTTTTAATAAAAAAATAATTTCGAGTTTGAAAGACAACTGAATGCAAACGTAAAATGACTTTATCAAACATAAAAACATTCACGAATTTAACATCAAACTAAACTGTGTGTAGCAACACTGGTTTTTGTAGATGGATGAATTTTTAGGATCAATGGTTCATACAGCTAAAATTCTTATCATCCAGTCTTTTTTTGTAGACAAGAATCTAATCTACATATTTTTAGGCTCTCATAGGAAGAAAACAAAATATCAGCTGTGAGTCACCTTATGAACCGTTTTCATACTTTTAACTCAAAATAGTGGATTATCATAATGTATGAAATTCGGGGTTTGATTTTATTTTGATCGACCATTTGGATATAACCAGTTTTGTAAATCTTACAATTGTCCCAAATATTGTAGGACATAGGCCGCCGCTTTTGTCATTTTTTCATACACAAATGGATTAATATTCTGTACTGTATCGCATTCCTCATGATAACATGGATCGTAGATAGTGTCGGCAATACCCCCGTGACCTTGCCCCAATATTTGATCATATTTATCACGTTTAGTATTAGTTTTCGTACCAGCTGCACCACTAAAAAGGCCACCAATTACGATTCCGACAGCTAAAAATGGAATATGATCAGTGTCAACGACTTTGATAATATCCCACGGTAGTTCTTGTTTTGAAAACCATTCACGCAATAATTCTGATATCTGAATACTGCCGTGAGCAGCTGTACCCTGAGTCGCTTTCCCGTCATAAATACCAAAAAAAAAATTTGGTGATCCAAGCATATCAATATTGATGTTAACCAAATAATCTTGTAATCGTTCGCCTTCGACTGCTGTGGCTAGTGCAGCTTGTTGCACATGATATTTAGAACCTAATAGTCCCATTTCTTCAGCAGCCCACCAGCAGAATCGCACACGATAGGCATATGGTAAATAAACAGATGTTTGTAATAAACGAGCTAAATTCACAGCTAACGCAAGATTAGCAGCACTACCACTACCTATAAAAGATCCGTTTATAGTGGTAGTAATCGACCTCAGAACTTGAATTAATATTATTTGACTCGGGGAAGGTATTGAAGAAGATAAAAAGGTGCTCAAACAAGCAGAAATGTCCATAAAAATTGGCAAAAATTTCCGTTCAGATACTCAAAGAGCCGACGAAGTCAGGAGCAGTTTAACATCTTTATATCAAAAAGTTCTTCTGTCAGTGAATTTTGGTCCTTAAAATAGTATCTATGGTGAAAAATATCCTCACATACAGCAATTCACAGGTATGAAACAGTATAACGAGTTCGATCAGCACGATGAATGTAGTTAAATAGGATATCAAAAAAATGTTCTATCGATAAAAAGCTTTTCTTATTTTCTCAGAAATCATCTAGTAAACATTTTGGTATTTTTGTTCAGAGGGCTTAGCAATTGATGAAAAAGGTTTATTAATAAGTTCGTTGGAGTAATAAATTCTCAGAAAGTCACTTAAGAGCCATTACACGTAAGCCAAGACCGACGTTCTTCATTCGACGTTCTCAAAATTTTTCCCAAGTAGGGAGCGCTTGTAGACCAAACATTTTAATGAATTTTGCTAAAAGGCGAAAATCAAAAAGCTGTATTGTTGCTGAGATATTGATATTTTACGAAAAGCCCCGAAAAACGTAGATTCCGCCATCTTGAAAATTTGCCAACTTTAAACTCTTGTAATTCAGTAACAACAGATTACTTAACCTTCGAGATTTCCCCATAAATAGTAGACAGTGTGAGCTACAAACCACGCAACCGTGAGCTCAAAACATGCTTTCGTTATTTTGTGATAGATGGCGCACTAAAAGCCCAAATCCAGAAAACTCTGAATTTTGCTGTCGCACCCATTTCAAACAAAGTCGACTGTAAGACTTTCAACCATATTTCTAAATAGATTATATGCCAAAGCATATTTGGTAAAAGTTTGACGGTCTCCGGTGCTTTCGTTTTCAATACAGACGCCTTGAAAGGTGCACTTTTCCGCAAAAATGACCATTCTGGGCGATTTTGAGCAATGATTTTCTCCAATGCAAACCGGGCAATTCTTAAAACCCCTAGTATAGTGCTGAAGTACATCAGGTGTAGTATCATAGTCCATCCTGTGATTTGTGGGTTTCGCTAAAATGACTTCCGGGACTCGGCTGGGGCCAGCGAGTTCTAGAAGTTTGCTTCAATCAGTATATTTCTGCTATAGTATATTAAAATTTCAATAAAAACCAGTTTGATATGCAACTTTTCATAAGGAATGCAATGGTAACACAACAACAAGTTAATTCTACTATTAACGCGGTCCTATGTGCGAGTTCCTACGAGAGTACTTCTAATAGGTTCACTTCTGATGGATTTTCATATGCCGATCAGTGGTTTTTGAATAACTCAAGAACGAAAGGCGATTGAAACTTCTGCTTTTTGCAATTCGATAGCCAAGACTTTAAACTATGTTTTTGTAACTAAAACAAAGCTGAAAGTATTTCTCAATCATCGGTTTTCTGAGATATCTAGAAAATCGTTTTGTAACTCTAAACGATAAAGTAGCAATAGATTGCTTTTCTTATGAGTAAATAGCCTAAAGTGTCCTCTTCAAAATGGGAGTCAAGCGAGACTTTGATTTTGAGTGATTTGAACGTGGTATCTCATTTCCGTGGAGCACCAGGACTGGCACTCAGTGGTTTCCAGTAACCTTGAAAGAAGACGAGAAGTACATAGTCGATCATGCTAAATCTGATGGCAGTGTTTATTTTATTTTACTTTATGTTAATCTTCCTCTTTCGAGGTTACTGGAAGCCACTGAGTGTCAGTCCTGATGCCCCATGGAAATCCGATACCACGTCCAAATCACTCAAAATCAAAGTCTCGCTTGGCTCCCGTTTTGAAGAGGACACTTTAGGCTATCTGCGTTCCAGATAGCGTGGATTTGTAAATCCTTTTTTTGATTGTATCAACTATACAGGGTGCCCGAAAAGTCACCTACCAAAAGAACTTGAATATCTTCGTCATTTCTTAACTCAACTTCAAGGTTGTTTTTTTGTTTGATAGAAGATTATTCCAAGTTGTATTTCATATAATTGAAAATTTTTTGTGTAAAAACCAGTCGATGAGGAAGAAAATAAAACTTACAACACACGTTTTCTGTATATGTACTTAATAATAGTATGTAAAGACTGTTGAGCTCGTCGTACTTGAACGGAACGTTTGTCAGAGTCGCACTACGTCTCATCTTGTAGAACCCTGATTGCCCTACAATCTTACATATTTAAATGTTTGTTTAACTTAAAGTTTTATTAAAAGAAGTCAGTTTCACTATATAAACATGACCTACAGATTCCGGTTTCTGTTATAGTCTGCTCCAACTTTTTACAGACTTTCGAACTATCCCGGTTTGTACGGCTACCTTCTTTGTATGAAATTCCATTACTAGGTGTTCCTTGTATTGTTAACTTTATCTGAAAAACGTTTTGATTACTTTTTATAAAAAATTTGCAGTATATGATTTGTTAAAAAAGAGTCCCAAAATATCTAAATTTCACGATAATACTAACGTATTAACAAAAGTTTCCAATCGTACGTAGTAAAACTTGAAACGTTTCTCTATCAAAAAAACAACAACCTTGAAGTTGAGTTAAGAAATGACGAAGATATTCAAGATTTTCTTGGTAGTTGAATTTTCGGACACTCTGTACTTCTTATTTAGGGAACAGTTTGCAGAGTACGTCAAGTTATCTATGATTAAAAGTATTTTTGACTGTCTGTTGGTTCTGGCAGAGTTGTAAACAATTTAATTTGAGAAGCGGCTGAAGAATGAGCTTCTAGAGAACAAAGTTGAATTTAGATGTCCACATGGATTCAAGTAGATTAGAGGAGGAGGATGTAAAACATTCCTGAATATTAAGCTATCTATATTTACCTCTTTTGAGTTATTTCTCGTATACATCGACTTTGATTGACTTTGATTGTTCAGGTGTTACTCCAATCAAATTGTTTACAACTCTGTCAGAAGTCATTTGATAGTCAAAAATAATTTTCAGTCATATAAAACTTGATGTGTTACACAAACTGGATGAGCCTAAAACTGATTTAAAGAAACCTAATTTTTCAGAAACCAAACTCTAAAGAGGACATCCTCGATTATCAAATACGAAATCATTACCATCGATTAAATATGTTGCCTTGTGTTTTATACAAGATGGAAAAAGCGGATCCGGAGGTATTCTAAGTACTGGAATATTTGCGAATACCAGAGAATATCTGAAATTCCATGAGAATAACCCTGAACACCTTAGAATCGTCTAGTCATAAAGAGTCGCCTATTCAGGTCACCAATATCGCCTTTAAGCTTTCCAAAGTGAAAAGATGACTCAGGAGAAGATGTATACTGTGAAAAACAGGTTTTCCAAGCTCTAGCGTCCACTGTTGGAAAATATATCAAAAGTACCTCCGTAGATTCAGAAGATGACGCTGTATCAAGTGATTCCAAGATCGAATTTTCAACAAACTGTTTTCTGCTAGAAAGCTTAGGAATATCGCCAAAACGCCAAAAAATCGATTTTTGAGGCCTCCGATTAGAAGCCAAGCCGATCACTGCTTGAGACTTTGTCACAATATGCAACTGTTCTCGCTCTTTTCGGTGGCAATGTCAAAAGAAACAGAAAGGCTGTGGAACAGGTCTGAAGGTCTCCAGAAAACCTTTTAACGATTCTCAAGAGCATTGAGCAAACTAAATTCATTATGATGATCAGCATATTTTATTACCTATTTTCAGCCATATTCGAAATTTTTTTAGATATGCTGACGGGCACGAAAAATAATGAAACTTTCCATACAGAAAAAGCCTCATTTTTCGTAAATTATATTTCGTGAAGAGACATTGATCTTAAAATTCATCAGACAATTAGCTAAATCCATAATGTTATAATGGTTCATATGCATTTCAAAATGTGTAAAATCGTTTTCTCTACAAAATGTGATCAGAACTAAGTCGAAAAAACAGTGGGACAAACGCAGTGGAAAAGCAGGTCCCGTCCTTTCCACCAAAATTTCTGAAAGTAGGAGATGTATACACTCTCCTCACACAAACGGTCGCTCCACCACTGCTCATACATGTTCAAAGAATAAATAAACAAAAACAACGTTGAACCATATGTTATATTACCATATAAAAATAAAAGCTATTTATGGTGTTTTAGCCCAAAAGGAAAACTGTTTCTCTTTATGGTTGTTACTTCTTGACTTAAGAATATGAAACCTATTTCGATACAGTAACTAAGAGCTATAGAAATAGTTTTAGGTGAGAAAAATGAGAATACTTACGAATATCTGCGAATACTTCCGAGTATAATTCCGGAATACTCGAATCCGCTTTTTCCCCCTTGGTTTTACGCCAAAAGTGACTGGACAATTAGAAATTCCCTTAGAGTTAGTTCTTCTTTTGAGAATTGTTAGGTCGATAAGCACCAGTTTCTTACCATACGTTTTTTAGTATAAATCCTTTAGTTTTTTTCTACTCAAATAGAAAAACAGCTTACCGTTATCATTAATTCCAGATCCATATGGAACACTATCACTATGACTGCCTACTAAAATTGTTTTTGTTACATCTCCTGTTGGCGTATCAGCACATATATTTGCCACAGTACTTGGTGGTGTATCCTTAACGAGAATGCTTATAATCACAGTTGCGTTCATTGCACTATTTCTTGCTGCTTGTACTAGTTGGAAACCAATTGAATATGACAGGGATAGAACAGGAAATGTTGTGTTTACTGGATCATAATACTCTTTTATCGGCTCAAATCCATAAGGTGGTATACCATCATTATAAATGAGTAAACCGGCAGCATAATTTTTCGTGGCACGTTCTGATATTTCAACAAATGTACAGTTATCACTTCTTTGAACTAGAGCAACACGATTGCTTAAAGTTGAAATATTCCCCCAGTCACTGTCAAAACAGCCACTGTTTGGTATAACCACAAGTTGTATAGGTGTTGAAAAAGAGGCTGACCCAGAAAATGGCACACTTGTAAAATCTGATGGAAATGTGTAATTAGTTTGTATACCATTGACATTCGATATTAGTATAGGATTACGTTCCAGTTGAAAAGTTCGTATAGGAAAATATTGTTGTTGTACTTTAAGATTTGTATGATCTTTCAAATACTTCGTTATATAATCAACAGTTAAATTAAAACCATTAGTACCACTGGCTCGTGTGCCATTATTTTCATCGGCTATTGCTTGTAGCTGTTTTAAATGATCGAACATTTGCTGAACTTCGATAGAGTCAACAAGATTATTACATATCTTGTTAACGTTGCTGCCAGCGCCACTGCTGTTATTGTTTAAACGATTAAGAATAACACTTAATGTACCGGCTGATATTGCAAGTGTAGTTAACACAAATAAAATTAATAAAATGAATAGAATATACAATATTTTATTATTTTTGGATGGTGTTGTCACAACTGTTTGACTTTCATCAGCCACTATGTTTGTTTGAACCATTATAGCTTGGTACTATAAAGCAACAGCACTTTTTAGAAGTTATATTTCTAATACTCAGGGTTTCCATGAACAATATGAGACAAAGGGAGATTTTAATATGATTGCTCGTGCTTAGACCAGGAATTGATGACCTTTTAAGTTATGCAAGTTCCAAATAAATATCTGAATTACGGGTAAAGTTTCTCAAGGGCGAAATTAGTTTCTCTGAAATTCGAAGTAAATCTCCGATTCCTTTTCCTTTAGGATGGATCTTAATACTCACATCATTAGTATAAAAAAAATTATAGTTTTGATACTTTACATGATAATGAAAACGAAAAACATTTGTTCACTATTCTATATTGACTACCTTTCTTATATTGACTCTAGATATTTGTTCTTATTCTATATTGCTTTTCTACGGGATCTACTATTTCTATACTTCTTTATTTCGCAAAAGCAGAAAATGTATCATTCCGTAAACGACAAATCGTTAACGGAAATCAATTAGATCTTGTAGTACAACAATATACTGTGACGATAACTCATCGCTTTTCTTTCATCAGTGTGGCGATCAATTCCCCTTTATGAAGTTGATTTTCTAGGAAGGTGTCAAGAATTTTAATTTCCTTGCCTTTGAATAACATACGTTTTCGAATCTTGCAGAACATTATCTGATGAAAAATGCGATTTTATAGCATGTTTTCTATCAAGCTTTTTTATTGATTATTTAGTGGACCTTAGGCTTAAACTAGTGAAGAGGTTAAGAATACTACAGCTATCACCAGTTATAACAGTTTTTGATTTTATCTACAAAGTTAAATAAGTTATAACTATTAGTTAGAGTTTTAACTTTTAATTTAGATTATAACTCTTAAACTCAGTTACAATTCACAGCCGGCTTAAGAATTATAATTGCAACTCGATCCAACAGTAGTAAGTACAGATCAAAGTTTTAGCTTGGCTGAATACTGTAAATCTTTTGATCTTCTAACTGAGCATTAGAAACAAGTCTATCAATTCAGTTAATCGCCTATACACAGCGGTTGCGGTCTTCATATCAATTCAGTTCATCCACCAACTATACGGAGTGGTGTAAAGCCCCACAGTTCCGTAGAAATTCTAGAATTTAGCAGAATTCAAAGTGTTGCTACTCACTCTCATGTACCTATCCTCCTACCCACGCAATTACATTCTCTCTAAGAATTGGCAGATTCTAATAGAACTAAAACTATCTGGAATTCCATCAGATTCTGAACAGAATATTAGTAATAGTATATGAATGTGTCGAATTCTACCAGTTGTAGAAACTTCCATGGAAATGAAGAACTGTACACTGCTGAGTGTAAGATGAGTCAAACTCAGGGTATATGTGATGCTTCCAAAAGACGTACAATGAAAATAATGTTTTCTATGTTCTAAGTAGCAAAATATTATTTAAACAGTGTATAGTTTTCATTCTATTTAAAACTAAAAAACCATAATTTCATCAAACATCCTATGTGAACACTACAAGTATATACAGATATTTCCAGAAGACATAGTGAAAAAAACTGGATGATAGCTGAAACTTGATGATAGCTTGAACCTTGAATATAGCATGTTTAACTAATATGACGATCTCGGTCCAAAAATTCTTTAATAGACCACAGAGAAACTTTTAAAAAATATTTTTAAATTCTTCGTCTCTAAGACGAGTAATATTTGAGTGACTATCACTTACTAAAACATCTCAGTCGTCAGGATTTAGTGTGCAAGATACATCCTGTATTTTAATTTAGTCTTCGAATTATATGTTCAAACAAATTGTAGGTTGTATAATAAAATGTTAAGCAAATGAAACTGATATTAATCTTCTGTTAAAGATATAATAAATTGTATTATATACTTACGAAGACAATACAAGAATATGCAATTATTAGGAAGAGAAAGAGTCTGTTGCTCTTTAAGCAAAGCCGTAAAAAAATAAAATTCAAATCATGCTTACCTCTCTGACCATAAATATAACTGAATATCGTTTTCTTTTCTATCTTTTTCACCAAATCGAATAAATTATCATTTTCTTATTCACTGCCTTTCACAAATTGATACAATAAAGAATCATCAAATAACGAACCGTTTATTTCTCGTATATAAATATGCATATTTAAAAGACAACAAAATATTTGATCTGTAAAATAGATTAAATAATCAGTAAAAAAATAAATAATTAGTTTAAATTCGCTAAGTTATAAATGATCAGTTTAAAGATTGAATGATTAGTACTTAGATTATCAGTAAATAATATGAAAATGATAAGTTTATTATATATAGTAGTAAAAATATACAATTTATATCAGTAAAAAAAAGAAACTTGATAAGTAAAAAATGCAAATTTGACAAGTAAATAATATAGATTTTATCAGTAGAAAACAAAATTATCCGTAAAGTATAATATAGAATAAGAATTGAAATGAAAAAAAAA